CCCCAAAACCCCAAAACCCCAAAACCCCAAAACCCCTGCATCGAGAATGCTGATTGAAATTTTATATATTTTATTTGACAACATTTCTGAGTCCTTCGATTGAAATTGGCTTCAGAATGATTCCGTCGAACAGCTTCTGCTCGTTCTCAACGACTTCTTTCTGAGCAGTGACTGCAAAAATCTTGGTGAGAAATTTGTCCTTGTTCTTAGAAACTGAGCTGGGTTTCAAGAGCTCTTTGATCTCAGTTAGAGCAGGGTATCTATTTTTATAGTAGTGTGAATATTTTATATATCCAGCTCTCATTTTGATAAGCGAGTTAGTGCCAGTGGTAACAATATTTGCTTCACAGTGGCTCTCTCTGCGTTCACAATAACGCCTGCTAGTCTGGGATGCACATCGGGCTCTATGGTGATGCCTTTATCTCTAGCCCTAGGCTTGATAGTGTTTCTGACTTCAGCTCACAACGAGTCGATCGTGAACTCAGACTCCTATTCTTCACATGGGCTTTCGCCGTCAAATATGATGGTGGCCAAGATCTCTCGCATAACCGAAGTCATGCGGTTAATGAACTTCTTGAGTTCCTGGAACTGCTCTTCGCTCCGTTCTGCTTCAGAGAGTTCTCGATCAACTTTCTGGAGCATCTTTGTAAGCTCTGATGCATACTGACTCATAATGAGTTTGTATTGCTCATTGTTAATATGAGGATTCAGAGCTTTAGCAGAAATTAGTTTGCTCTGTTCAAAAATGTGGATTTTTGCGTCTTTATCATTCCATTTGATAGACTTTGACTTGAGAATGAACTTTCTGTCTTGGATGGCAAGCCGCATTTCTTCTTTGTCAAACACAATGCTTTGTTCATCTAAAAATGTCACACAAAGTTCCAACTTTGGAAACCAATAAATACAAACAAATATGGGATATAGAGATAACTTACTGATTTTCTGGTCTGTGAATATGGCTTCATACAGAGTGCTAGTTGTTGGTTCAATGTGAGAAAGTCTTTCTTCGCTATCACTGACAGAGTTCTCTGATCCAAAATCAAAGGAGGTCCCTATGTTATCAATGACATTGTTTTTAACTCTTTTCGAATATTATCTACCTCTAATTTTTTCATAAAATATAAAGTTTATGCTTGATATCAAAATGCTAAATAAATAATTCTACAAATTTATATCCCATATTTAAACTTTTCGTAAGATATTTTACTCAAAAATTCTATAAATATAGTTAGAGCTTTTTTAGGCTCCCTTTCCATTGAAGTCTTAAACTTCATTCTTCAATATCTTTTTGCAAATGTTTATGAAATATTAAAACATTCGTTAAAAATATTATTATTTGGGTTTCTCTAAAGACCAGAATTAAGTCTACATATATTGTTTCCATATAAAAACACAAGTTTATCTTCATATTTTTGGAAGGTTAAATCTCTATATGAATTTAGATAATATATACCCACTTATTTTACAGTCTAAGATATTTAGAAAATGAGATAAGGAAATTATGTAATCAATCCACCAAATTTGTATTCAAAATATGAAAAATGAAAAGATTGTGATAGAAAACTTTGCGAAAAATATTGCTATTGCTTAAGTCGATGATTATGGTTGCAGTGAAGCTCACCGGGAATAAGCTAAATTGAAATCCCAGTCTCAAGATGTAATACATTATGCTCCCTCCGATTCAGATCGCGCTCTGATGTCTGTGGTGGCTCAGGTTCAGACAGATCCCAGCCACGAATGCAAACAAAGTCAGCGCCAGGGTGTTGAAGAAATGCAGTCCCAACATTCCACTGATTTCTGAAATGTAGAGAGTTCCGATTAGTGAGAGTGAGAACACTGAGTAGTCTATCCATTTGGAGTATTGCAGAGACAATGCATAGTTGGCAGCCAAGTGGACACACACTCCTAAAGCATATGAGTAATGTTTTTATGTAAGATTACAAGAGCAATATATTGAAACAAAGACTTACCTATAACAAAACAAAGATAGAAGCCTACTGGAAAGCTTGTGAGCTTCACTAATTCTAAAACATTACTGAACTCACCCCCTCGTTACTTTAATTCCTCTTAACCTCCTCAGCAAAATCCAGTTCTTGGTATATTTCTTTTTCGAGATAATAGGCCATCAGATTTGCATAATTTTTCTTAAATAACTCACTAAGCAGAATGTTATATAGCAAGTACCGGAAGCTTACATTACTATATCATAGAAAGATGACTACAGAGAATCGGCTTATCAAAATATGCACTGAAAGGAAGGTATCCGGCTCATGTCCCTTAGGGACTTAATTTAGCCATAGTGACGAGGAATATACACTCTGTGATTTTGGAGAACCTTTTCATGGGATATTGAGCGGCTCATGTCTGAAAATTCTTTGGAAGATTAAGGGGTAAGATTGAGAGAAGATGCTTAAACACCAAACTTTAACCTTCGTCAGATATTTTTTTGGTAGAAATGGGATAGATTATGGTGACAAAGCTCAAAATCTTTCCCTATTTGGTCAGATATCTTTCTGTGTCAAGGATATCCATATTCTAAAATTTAGGCTTGATTTTAATATTTTCATCAGGAGGGAAGTAGGTCAATTTTCACAAATTAATCAAACAAGCGTTGTATTTATTATGATATCAATAATAGATACAAAATTAGGGGTTTTGGGGTTTTGGGGTTTTGGGGTTTTGGGGTTTTGGGG